CATTCTACTAAACGTCCTGTGTACCCTGTTAAAGGTCTTGACAGTCTTCATAAACAGTGGTGATAATATTATAGCTAAGGCCTAATGAATGATTTATAACATTTAATAAAATCTATTGTTTTGTAGTCTATACCCGATATAAAGTAATACATAATCTTTGGCATCAATACTTTTCTTGCTGGAAATCAGTGGCATAGTGACAAATATTCTGGTGACACAGATTCAAATTCTACCATGCCAGGTGGAACTTGTATTGACTACAAACATATGTTTTTTTTTATTCATTCACAGGATGAGAGCATCGTGGGCCAGGTAGCATTTATTGCCAATCCCTAATTGTCCAGAGGGCAGTTAAGAATCAAGAGCTAGAGAAGGCCATCCAGCCTACTCAATGGAGGAATAATTCAATGTATTCCAGTTCAGCAAGGCAGAGGAAGGTTGTGCAGACAGGGCTGATTGGTCCTCATCTCAGGGAAGAAACAGAGATCATAGGCTTTCCTCACGGGGATAACAGGTGTCAAGAGATTGGTCATCTGTGATGAAAAGGGCAAAGAAACTGGAACTGTTAAAATCAGTGGTGAGCATCAGAAAGGTCACGGATATAGACAGGAAGAGAGTCAAAAAGGAGAAAAGAAAGAAATGCTGAACAATGGGCTGAATCTCCTGTTTGAAACCATAACACACAGCAGCAGTAGGCCTTCAGACCATCAAGTCTACTCTACAAATCAATGATCTGATTTGAAAATAACTCATCTTCCTTTCCTGTCTTTTCATCATAACATTTGGAGACCAGGTGAGGAACACTGCAACTTACTATCTTAACAGATCTCCCGCAACTGACAACACAATGGCACCTATCAGCATTACTAATTTTCTGCTCAACTTGCAGCTAAGGATGAACCAGTGCCAAAGGATGCAGAAGCATCAGCAACGATAGGCTGAAATTCAGCCTGGAGAAGCACCACATCCCCATCAAGAGGGGCCGCAGTGGTGAAGAGCACTGGCCAGAAACTGCAGGCAAATTAAAGAGAGGCAATGCTGAGGGCATCACAAGATTCCTGGGATGCTGTATCTTACATCAGTCAGCTTCTGAATGAGCAGCTGTAGCCCCAAGGACTGGGATATAATCCCATGCCAGTCACCATTAAGGTAAGCAATGGCCCTCAACTTCTATGCAAGTGGATTGTTTCAGGGAGCCACTGAGAACCCCTGAGGAATTTCACAGTCAGTCACTCATAAATGTATCGGTAAGGTAACTGATATTTTCTTCATTAAAGTGCACTAAGTTATACACTTCCATTTGGATGCGGTGAATCAAGCAGTCAGGGCAATCAGTTTTGCAGGCTTTTGGGCAGGTGCAAGGGGCAATCGTTTACACTGACATCACAGCCTGTTGGCACTTCCTTGTCTGCTTGAGATGAAGGGGCACCTAGAATGAGATTGAGATGCTTTATCTCTCTCTCACTTTGCCAACGATGCCGTGCATACATAGGTACAGAAATGGGTTCCAGGTTTAAGCACAAATCTGGCAGCCACTGAGTGATGCTGCATCTGGCTTTTGAAGGAAACCACCACTCTTTCGGTGGAGGTAACCAAGCACCCACATGCCAGAATCATAACAGTAGACAGAACTTGATTGGCTTCCTTTGCTTCAGTTTAATGAGGGCGTCTGGCAACACTGCCTGATATTCCCATTCTATCATTAAGCTCAGCAAGTTGCTTTGTCTCCCGCAGTCAGAGGGTCAGAGATCTTGGGTGTTGTTACCTCCACTAGTTGTGGACCCGTATCAGTGATGTGTTCTATAGATGATGACCTCAAGCCTACTCTAGTGGATCCACTAAAGTGAATGTCTACATATTGATGGACAGAGAAGGTGAACTTGTGTTGGTGCCTGCTTTGAGGTGATAGAGGCATCATCCTTGGAGACAATGTGTTGCTGCTGCTAGGGAGGTCACGTTATCTAGTGCTTCATCCTTTTCTGGTGGCTGAGAATACCTGGCGCGGAAAAGCAAAGAATTAGTTGGTGAAGAAGCACAGTCTCTTGCACAAGACCAATGTCTGGCTCTGCTTGGACTTCTGAAAACAAAAGACATCAAGTATGGTCCTCTTGTACCAGATCTATGGCCTGCTCTTCACATGGGATGAGGATTTGCAAATCTGAAACCCCTCTCCTGGTCTGGGCCTTGGCAATCTTGTCCTGCAAGCAAATAAACAGGGCAATTGTCTGTGTGGAGTTTGCACATTCTCCCTCTGTCTGCGTGGGCTTCCTCTGGGTGTTCCGGTTTCTTCCCATAGTTCAAAGATGTGCAGATTAGGTTGATTGGTCATGACAAATTGTCCATTGTGTCGAGGGTTAGCCATGGGAAATGCAAGGTTAGAGGCACAGGATGGGGTCAGTGGGTGGTTCTGGGTGAGATGCTCTTCTGAGTCAGTGTGGACTCAATGAGCTGAATGGCCTGCTTCCACACTGTATGGATCTACAAGTGTGATGGAAATGGATTCACAAGTGCTTTCTGCGCATGTATACCACAGCATATCCTAAGCCATCTCCAGCAAGTGAGTAGGAACCACACTGCCTGCAAACCGTTAGAACACTGACAAAACCGGGGTAGCTGTCCGCCTTTCAGTTCACGTTATCCTTACGCTTGATCATCCTCTGTGATGAGGCACAGACTGAGGGACATCTCTTTGAGTTTCAGTTTGCAGTGAGGAGATGATGCCATTTACCTTTGAAAATTGCAGAAGACAGTTCAGCTTCTTCTTGCGTTGAATCAGAGTGCTCTTGTGAGGCACATGGGCACTGACTTGTGCTTCAATCTCACTCCAACAGAACTGGTTCTGATGGAAGTGCATTCTGTTGCCATCCCAGATAAAAAGGATTTTTCTTATTTTAGGGATGGCCTGGATCAGAACTTCAAAAAGCACTGCTAATGCTTGGGGCCAGTTACTGTCTGGTCTGAGACATGTCCAGGTTGGGTGACAGCAACCTACGTAGGCTCCAACAATGCTGCAGGTTTGCCGTAAAAGCAGTTCAAGTGGCCTATAAAAATATCACACAAGCCTTTTGGGCCAAGAACATCCTGACTGCCTATTCCCTAAGATTCACCACTCAACCTGCATTCATATGGAATGAGTTGAAAAGCATGTGATTATGCGAGAAAAACCCATCCAAGGTGCAATGTAAGTGACAAACTCAATACGCCCATGCCATGCCTAGGGTCTAAAATGAAAAATTCTGCCTTCTTACTCTTATTTTCCTGAGGAGGGTGAAAATTCTCCCCATTCTATCAAAAAGTACCACTGCATATTTAGGAATCATGATATTAATTTACCAATATACCGCTACAGGTTTCTTAATATCTTCCTATATTTCACTGCATGTCTGTCTTGTGATTTAATCTGTTTAGCTTCAATTCCTGTTTTACATCTCACTCAAAGAACAATATGATCATGGCACTACTAGCTCTTGTTGAGACCATAAATTAAACACTGTGAGCAATTCAGGCATGTTTTGAAAGAAGCCATTCAACTGGGTTTGTTTTTTTGTTGGCATTAATTATATATTGAATATACTGAGCCTGTTTAAAACTGATTGTGCAATAGTTACGAGCTGCACACTGAACAGAAAACAAGAAAAGATTGAGGTATATACTGTACCAACATAAATTAAGAGATGAAGTTGTATCTGAAACCAGAGAAAACACTAATGAGTAGCAGGTGACTGCATCTGTGTAATCACAAGACAGCTTGTGAAGAGTGATTGTCTCTCTAATTGCAGAAAATACAGGCAGGAAGATGATGGTCTCTGTAAATACAATTTGGTTTGAGTAACGGCATCTAATTGCAAGAAATACAGCCAAGATAGTCACTCTGTAATTACAATGTGAGAGTGACCGTGTCTGCAAATACAGCTCAAGGACGGTGACAGTATCTGTAATTGCAGGTAATACACCTCCAGTGAGTCACTTTGTCATTACATTGTGGGAGAGTGAACACCTGTAGTCACAAGAAACATCTGCATAAAGAAGAGAAGGCAGGAGAACAGCAGCTTACAGAGAGATTTGGAACAATCAAGGGTAAGTAAATAGTAAGGGCTGTAGGGTTGTGTACGGATTGGGTTCAGGGACATGGAGGAGTGGGAGAAGATTCTGGGGAGGACAGAGAGTCAGGTCAGGGGTCAAGAGCAATGAAATGGGAAGGGTCTGAAAGCCTGATCTCTTAGGTATGATGGGGAGAATGAAGGGAATAGCTAATCAAGATAAGAAAATGAGGGGGCCTAAAAGGTGTTGTCAATATTGTCTCCATGCATGTCCACCTCAGAGTTGGCTGCCACAGCCTTCAGAGGATAATTATTCACCAACACATGGTCATTTCAGACTCAAACATTAACTTTACGTTGTCCATAAATGCTCCCAAACTTGCTGAGTTTATTTTGTTTACATTGCTTATTTGTTTACGTTTCAATTAATCTCCACTGAGACTGAGCTCAGAAAATGATCTTTACAATACATAGAATGGAGGACCAGCTAAGCTGGCAAGTTCAGCTATGTCCACAGAGTGATGAGTACAATACTGGGCACCATTAAGCTCTCTGACTAAGCCAGCCTCAAAAAATAATGATAAAACACACTTGAATAAAATATAACCAATGTAACGTGAAATACTTAAATAGGAAATATAATTTTGAAAAATATCAGTTCTACTTTAGTGCTGTCTGTATTGGTGTGGAGTTAGACAAGAAAGCTTTTGTTGTGTTTCAGAGAGCCCATGTTTAAGTAAGAGCTTCGTTTAAAGCCCCTTTTCTGGCTGCAGCATTGTCAGCTAGCAGCAGGTCTTATGACTGAAGTGTTTTCCCTGCTTGCACATCTCTCATCATGGCACTTTAAATTTTAATTGTAAGCATGTGGAAGATGGGAAAGAGCAAGAGAGAAGTGGCATACTGCTGACACAACCCTCTCCCACCACCCATCACAGAAGTCACAGATTGGTGGGAGCTTACCTGAAACTCTGCAATGGGAGGGATTTCTGTTAAACAACTGACTGCATGGTTCTAGAATAATAATGAAAAATTGGTCAATACATGCATCAATGGAACAGTATATGATTGAGGCCCTTATAACTATTTCTTGGAAATTGTCTTGGAAGTATGAAAATCAAGTGAATGCTATCTTAATTCAGAGTTTAAATTCAAAGACTATTTTTCCAAACTGAAAAGGGTTGGAAAATGATGGTTGACATAGAAAAGGAGAACAGATGTGAGAGTGCCAAGAGCAAAAGACAATATGGTAAAGTTTAGACTGAGATGTAAAATAGGTGTTAATGATAAGTTTGAATAGGAGAAAATAGGTCAGCTCAGCTGAAAGCAAAGCCAACAAGAATCAAAGAGAGGCTAAGTGTTCACCAATGAAATTATATACCGGGAACTTGGCTTCCTGTGCTGACTGTTAC